ATATATATGTATATAATGTCAAATGGACATGTTTATTTCTCTTTCAGTGTGTACATACATGCCATTGTTCATTGACAATGGCAATAAAACAGATTCTGATTCAGATATTGCACAAAAGGTGGCATTTTTAATAATATAAATATAATGAAATATTATTAGAATTAGCAGACGCCTCAGTGCAATACAAAACATTAAATACGTTCAGTTATGTAAAACAGTATATAAAACACAGTGTGTGGTCTAATGTCTAAAATTATTGAAACCCTGAATAAACGACTCCAGACTTATTTCCAAACATTTTCTCCAGTGTACCTCCAGAAATCAGATGACTGCTTTCAAATGATGCACTGGTCTTCTGTTGTTGTGGAACTGTAGAAAGACAATAACCCCACCCAAAATAAAAATAAGTCTTGAGTTCTTCATGGTTTGTTGATGACAAAAGTTTCCAGAAGTCTTTGATGGGGGTCTCTGCGTCAAATTAACAGGTCCAGACCAAAAATCCACAAAAAATTTGGATCATATAGCCTATATAAAAAATATATTTCTGAATGAAAGTCAATATCAAGCTTTTATTGATGTGACAACGTTTGCTGCTGGTGGTTTTTAGAGAGGGTGAACAATATAGGGATACTCTCCTGTTGTGTTGACACTTCCTGTCCAGAGTCTGCAGAGGAGAAAGAAAAAAAAAAGATTTCTTCAGTCAAACTTAGGGAAAACTAGACACCGCATAGCGGTAACATAATGACCCCCGCATGCACCAATACACTAGAACTCAGAAGTCTTTATTCCTAATAAATGTCATGCTGTTTTTTTTTTTACTATTTTAATTATTAGTTTTGCAAAAGCATTTTTAGTATTTAAGTGGTTTTACTAATCCTAACTAGGTGGAGGAATTAAAATGAGCACAGCGCAAACATAAAACTGAAGTCAGCTGACCTCACCCATTTCCCAGTCTTTGTTTTGTAGTTTATTATGCTTTTGATTAGTCAAGAAATAACTTGAGTGCATATTGTGTAAATTTAATCCGTAAGCCTCCAAAATCTTTGTTTTTTTCCCTTTTAAAAATTAGCTATTGGATGACACCTGGATGATTATCAAATTTAAATGTTGCTTATATCCCTCACCTTCTCAGCCCCGCATTTTTTGTTCTAATTTTACAGTGATTATTTCTTTCACATAGTGCTACAGTTAAACTCGTCTTTGCTGCTGTCATCGTAAGCATAACGTGGAAAGGGGGTCTGGGGTTCTCCCCCAGAAAATTTTGAATGAAGTAGGTGCTGTTTCCTGCATTCTGCTATATTTGCAGGTTGTTAAACACATTTTAAACTACATAAATAAACTCTTTCATAACTACTTTAAAGATAGATTCTTAATTCAACTCAACATATGAATCATCCTTTTTGTGTCGAATTGGTCATTTGATTCTTTGACCAGCTGGTAGGCAGTAGAGTTTTAACAGGGTTAAAAAAAACACACCAATGACTGAGTCGCTGCAGCCAGCCTTCTCTTTAGAGACAGTAGAACAAAAATAAAGTTTCTTCTGTTGCTCCTTTTTTTAATAGATTAGACTATTATATTTATTTTACTGTCACAGCTCTAATCCTACTTTTTATTATGGCTTGGGACTGGCAAAAAAGACACTCAAAGTTATTTTATATGAATTAGGGATGCTAACAATTAATCGACTTATGATTAATTGCTGAATAATGGTTTATTAGATTAAAATTTCTTCCATTCGATTAATTGAAAACATCCGTTTAAACCTTATTTCAGTGTAGTTTTGCCTTCATCCAGCAGAGGGTGGTACTACTCTACTCCGGCCCTGTTAAACTGAGCAGGAAGCTATCTCGATGTGGATGGGACTGTAAAGGTGCAAGTCTTATTTAATTTTATTTGCGACACAACAATAATAATGGACTACACCAAACTAGAAGGAAAAGTACCGAAACTGGTACCAGACCATCAAGCAGTATGACGCTAAAGACAAGAGAGCAGGACGACAGAGAACGGTGAGCTAACTGTGGCTAACGTTAGCTTCCTCTTGAGTTTAACTCCGTGTGAAAGAATAACAACAAAAAAAGTTACAGTCTCTACCAATATTTAACTTGAAGTTAATCTAATCTGTGTGACATAACCTGGCCAGTAAACCAATCTAATAAACAGTAACTGACGTCAGATCATGCCGTGCAGCCCAGCTAAGATGGAAGCAGAGGGAATATAAACAAACAAACAATTACCAGTTTAAATGCCATTGGTGGGTTGGGGGGTTGGGTTTAGGACCAAGGTGTGAATTGAGTTTAGGTTAGTTTT